CCAGCCTTGAAAATTCCCCGAGCAGACAAAACCAGTTTAGTCATAGGAACAAAGCTTAATTTAGCTTAATTTGCAGCACTAACTTGACCTGGGTCTTTCTTCCTTATGCCTCTAGGAAATCATAAGCAAGCAAAACTTGAACTATTTCCAAAATTCATATGAGGTAACCACTAACCAATTCCCCATCATTTAAGAAAATTCTAATACTATAACCAATCACTGTGAAGAATGAAGTCACTGCCTTCTGGATAGATAACGTTTGTTCTTTTTTTTTTTTTTTTTTTTTTTGTTTTTTCCTGTTTTTTCCCCTTCCTGTGGCCTGTCCCGTTGCGGAGCACAGGCTCCGGACGCGCAGGCTCAGCGGCCATGGCTCACGGGCCCAGCGGCTCCGCGGCATGTGGGAACCTCCCGGACCGGGGCACGAACCCGTGTCCCCTGCATCGGCGGGCAGACTCTCAACCACTGCGCCACCAGGGAAACCCTGGATAGACAAACTTTGTAACAATATACTCCTGAGCCTTATTCCAAGTTTTGGTTTGAGTGCTCCTGGCTCACAAACTGTCTTTTGACGTGGGCACAATAAACTTTTATTAATCTCTACTTTCGTGATTTGTTGTTGCTTTTATTGATACTCCTGCTATTTCTGAACGTTTGAGGAGAGGCTCCAAAAGTTAATATTCACAGCATCTGGAATACAACCCCAAATTATCCAACATACAAAAAACTAGGAAAATGGGACACATTGTTAAGAAAGAAGAAGATCAGTTGAGACCAACCCTGAGATGACAAACATGAACTAGGAGATAAGGAGGTCAAGGCGGTTGCTATAACTACCCTCAATGAAGTAAAACAAAATATGCTACCCATGAATGAAACATGGGAAATCTCAGCAGAGAACTGAAAGCAATAAAACACCAAATGAAAATTCTAGAACTGACAAAAATAAGTATTTGAAATAAAAGATTGCTAGAGGGGCTTAGCCAAAGGGAAGTTACAGAGAAAATAGTAGTGAAGTTGGAGATAGTTCATGAGATATTATCCAATATTAAGAAGAGAGAGGGATAAAAAGATTGGAAAAAAGAATGTGGCTTCAGAGAATTGTTAGATAATATCCAGTGGTTTAACGTAGTGTAACTGCAGCCCTAGAAAGACAGGAGTAAGATTACTGTCAGACAGGAGCAGAAACAAGTATGTGAAAAAATAACAGCCAAGTATTTCTCCCCATGCCACATTTAGGATTTCTGAATTTCTAAAAATTGAGGTTCTGAAAAATTAAGTACTACTATTTGAGTATGAGTTTTTCTAAACCTGAGGTCTGTGTTCTCCCCCCGCAGCCCCACCGAGGACTGTGTCCTTAATTACCCCACTATTCTGCCTTAATCATAGGTGCTCACTAAATTAAAAAATAAACTTTGAAAAGCAAAACAAAATAATCAATACTATTTTCAGGGCAAAAAGTCCAGTTTTGCTAGACAAAATGACCTAAATAAAGTTTGTATGGTGAAACAGCTCTCGAAATTAAAGTGCTGTGATAGGTCTTTTTTGTTTTGTCCCTTTAGCATAGGCCTAATCTGCCCAATACAGCTGTAACTAGCCACATGTGGCTATTTTAACTTAAGTTCTTTAAAATTAAATTGAATTAAAAAATCAGTTTCTCAATTGAGAAACCACATTTCAAGTGTTCAATAACCACATGTGAATAGTGGCTGTCATATTGGACAGTGCAGATTATAGAATGTTTCTTTCATCACAGAAAGTTTTATTGGATAGCTAGCTCTGGGCTAGACTATATGTGGTTCAACTCAATTAACTAACAAGAGCATTGAATCAACAAGGACATTAAACCTTGTTTCCTCTGATCTAAAGCTTCAAAACTTGTCCAAGAATATTTTAGGGAATCATTAAGACCCTTAAGCAAATGTTAAAAATCTAGGGTAACAATATGGACCTGATACTTGGCATATATTTTCTTTGGCATCCCTCCTCTTAGGGACGCACTGTGTTCCTGTGTTGTCCTCTGACTGCTTTATGTTTCAGGGCCACCCAACAAACACTTCTTTTCTGAACCTTCTGTTGTACAATAAACATGTCCAGTTTCTCAGTCTCTATGCTAGGCAAGAATGGGTTGTCTATGGATATAATGTGATACTAGATATGAAAAATGTTCTACTACATTGCCCCTCACAGTAAAATACACTTTCCAGAGAGCTCTTAAAGATGATGATTTGTTAAGAATTTCCAGCATCATGGAGAGACAAAAAGACTTTAAAGGAGCTATTTATCACATCTTGCCAAGGAGGACTGGGGGTATTACTGTGTCTGTGCTCTTCCTAATTAATCATTTATATCTGTAGAAAATAGTTCTGTTGCATCAGTTAAACTCTATTTCAAAATGCTTTTTCTAGACTCTCATCAAAATTCCCCTCCCCTCCCACCAGATTTAGCATCCATTGATGATTCTCTCTGAATCAATATTATTGTGATGGCTCCAAAATTATGATGCTCCAACTCCAGCACCCTCTCTGTATGTATCAGTTGCACTTGGTATTCTACTATATAATAAAGAGCCCTTCTTTATCTACCTATGATCTATCTATCTATCTACAATCATCTCTCTCTTTCTTTTTCTCTCTAATTAATATGGCGTCACAGTTTCTCATTTTTTTCTAATGGTTTATAATTTGTTTTTACTCTCCCTAATTATTTTAGCACTCAAATTGTCCCTTATTTGGCCAGTGGGAACCCATTCATGCTGTAACAGCGTCTTTATGAAAGTGCTCCGACATTAAAAAAAAAAAGTGATATAAAAATATGTTCCAGTTTCTTCCTGTACTTTCCTGGTCCCATGGCTTGGATGAATCATTTCTTTGAGAAGCTCTAGCTCCTTTTACGGGCGTAAAATATTAAGCCAAGATGTGGGTCTGAGGAGTGCTCATCACTCCTCAAGTGTCTGCTTCTAGGGAAGGGTAAGATTTAAGACACTCTATAAGACTGAAGGCTGCTATTTTAGGGCCCAAGTGTAAAGGCCTGAGGAAGGGGTCTCTCTCCTTTTGTACTACAGCAGCATTGCCAGTGAAGTGGGGAGCCTAAAGCTTGGGGAGATAGCAGCCTTTACGTAGACACTCAGACTCTAAGGCAGGACACCATCTATGGTGGCAGTGATGAAATTTCTTTAGCCAGCTCTAGAATAAAACAAGAGATGTGGTGAACTTTACCTGGAGAGCTGGGACAGAAGAAGAAAATATGCGGGTGTCAAATGGTCTTTTTATGGGGTAAACTGACTTGTGAGCACATGCATGCACCCACCTTGGGAATCCCAGGAGTAACTGGGAGATGCTCTCTAAGGAGAAGACTTAGACTTATGCCATTAAACCAGTGAGGGCTTAAGTACGTATAAACTTGAAGAATAAAAGTAAAAATGAGGGTCTTCCCTGGTGGCACAGTGGTTGAGAATCTACCTGCTAACGCAGGGGACACGGGTTCGAGCCCTGGTCTGGGAAGATTCCACATGCTGCTGGAGCAACTAGGCCCGTGCGCCACAGCTACTGAACCTGCGCGCGTCTGGAGCCCATGCTCTGCAACAAGAGAGGCCGTGACAATGAGAGGCCCACGCACCGCGATGAAGAGTGGCCCCTGCTCGCGGCAACTAGAGAAAGCCCTCGCACAGAAACGAAGACCCAACACAGTCAAAAATAAATAAATTAATTAATTAAAAAAAAAAAGTAAAAATGAGTTGATTTAAAATTCATGGACTAGTAAATCCTGAAAGTACCACAGGTGTATATACACACATACCACACATACACAAACATTTAAAATTCACAGATTAACAAAGCCTACTTACTAGAGAGTATAGATATATAGATAAAAGATACACGGGTGTGTTCACATAGCCTTTTTTTAAGAACCTGCAGTTTCAACAGAGGACAGAGCTCTGGTACGGGATAATGGCAATACAAGTAGCCTAGTCTCTAGTTCAGTTAAGATATAGATGCAAGGTTGTACATTTTCATGGTTAAATGAAGTAAAAAAATAATTAGTCACTATTGTTTGGTGAGCTCTGTAAAGTGTTTGAAGACTGTTTTCCTCAGTATAAAAACAAACAAAAACAAACACCAGGAGAAACCAACTTGGTCACTACTTGAATTTTGGAGGACTTAGCATGAATCCATTCCCACCAGAGACATGGCTAATCTACAACCTCCCTACCCACCCTGCCCCAAGACCATTCCAGGTGTTGCCTACTCCTCTGTGGTAGGTTTAAAAATATACTGTTTTTTAAGGATGGGAAGGTAAGGGGCTAGGTGAGTTATTGCTTATTTTCATCAATCTTACTGATTTTAGACATCTAAAACTGGCTAGTAGCAGGGAAAATACTTACACACTGGTTATATATTAGTATCAACCTGGTAAGAATAGTTCTCCAAATCATCTTAAGCTATCAGACCACGAAGGAATACAAAAAGAAAAGAAAACCCCATAAACTCTGAAAATATAAGCAGTAGAAGAAATCTATTCCCCAAATAAGTTTAACAAGCTATTATGAGTAAATGTTTCCTCCGTCTTTACAGTCTATACTATAGGGATTTTTGAGGCTATAATTTGAAGAAGATGTAATTTATTTCTTCCTTCTTGAAAGAATGAAGTACAGTTTATCATTACTGCTGAAATGACTACTTAAGGGAGATAGCTTAGTAAATAAAACAGCCTTTGGTAGCTTAATTAGTTCTCAGGTGGTTACAGGCAAGATTTCAAAAGGTAAAGTAACACAAAAAAGGGATTTTCTAGTGATTAGCTAATTACATTTTATAAAACATATCATTGGACTAAGTATGTTGACTATAATTTTAATGACTTTCTGCAACAAGTTTTCACTCTAAATATATTAAAAACTTGGGAATACTTTTTGGAAAGACCAAGAGGTTATAGTTAATATGCCCCTCAAAATGGGAGAAAAGTTACTAGCTTTCATTTTAACTAGAAATTTTTTCCTCTTACAGAAGCTTTTGAAATTGCCATCTCCTTCTTGTTTTAAATGGCTGAAATAGGGAAGTTGAGAACCTTGAAATCATTCAAACAAGAAGGCAATGGTGAACAATTTCTCCCAAGCTGAAGCTGTGAAACTCTGCTACAAGAACGTGAACAGGTCCTATCTTAAGACTCCTTACTCACCAGGTCCTCGGGCAATTCTGTGTGCAGTCCTCAGTTTTGGGGCCCTGCTGGCTGTGTTTGGAAACTTACTGGTCATTACTGCTATTCTTCACTTCAAACAGCTGCACACATCTACAAAGTTTCTGATCGCATCCCTGGCCTGTGCGGACTTCTTGGTGGGAGTGACTGTGATGCCCTTTAGCACAGTGAGGTCTCTGGAGAGCTGCTGGTACTTTGGGGAGAGTTACTGTAAATTTCATACATGTTTTGATAATTCCTTCTGTTTTGCTTCTTTATTTCACTTATGCTGTATCTCTGTTGACAGATATATTGCTTTACTGATCCTCTGACCTACCCAACCAAGTTTACTGACTTGGTTTCAGGAATATGCATTGTTCTCTCTTGGTTCTTTTCTGTCACATATAGTTTTTCTATCTTTCACACAGGGGTCAATGAGGAAGGAGTTGAGGACCTAGTAGTTGCTCTCACCTGTGTAGGAGGCTGTCCGGCTTCAATGAATCAAAATTGGGTTCTAATTTATTTTCTTCTATTCTTTATACCCACTGTTGCCATGGTGTTTGTTTATATACGGTAAGGTATTTTTGGTGGCTAAATATCAGGCCAGGAAGATGGAAAGTACAGCCAGCCAAGTTCAGTCCTCCTCAGAGAGTTATAAGGAAAGAGTGGAAAAGAGAGAGAGAAAAGCTGCTGAAACATTGGGTATTGCTATGGCAGCTTTTCTGGTCTCTTGGCTTCCATACATTATTGACGCTATAATTGACGCTCATATGAATTTTATAACTCCTCCTTATGTTTATGAGATTTTAGTGTGGTGTGTTTATTATAATTCAGCTATGAACCCCTTGATATACGCTTTCTTTTATCCATGGTTTCAGAAGGCAATAAAACTTATTGCAAGTGGCAAAGTCTTAAGAAGTGATTCATCCACAATTAATTTACTCTCTGAGGAAACAGATGTATATTGTTAAGATTACTGCAGGGACTTTAAAACTAATGCGGGGGCTTCCCTGGTGCCGCAGTGGTTGAGAGTCCGCCTGCCGACGCAGGGGACATGGGTTCGTGCTCTGGTCCGGGAAGATCCCACATGCCGCGGAGCCGCTGGGCCCGTGAGCCATGGCCGCTGAGCCTGCGCGTCCGGAGCCTGTGCTCCGCAACGGGAGAGGCCACAACAGGGAGAGGCCCGCGTACCGCAAAAAAAAAAAAAAACTAATGTGGATTAAGGTCAAGTGCAAAATTAAACACTTGGATCTAGAGAGGCAAGCGTAATCATTTGCCAACTAGGAGGATATTAACATTCAATGGTTAGTTGTTGTAAAACATTTGTTTTCTTCATACATTTTGACATTTTTTTAGCATTTAGAAATAAATGAATAGGATTTGCTGATTATTTTCCATTTCGTATTCTTTTATGCTTTTCTGATTCTCTACCTTTGCATCTGAAATTTCTCATTGTTTCTTCAAATAATTTGAATTTTGTAGATCCTTCTATCCTTGTTACCAATGTTTATTTGTCCAAAATGTATATAGGGGAAAAAAACCTCTTGCCTAACTTGAAGGTAGATTTTGGGGGGACAAAAATCTTCCAAAGTACAGTTTGAGAAGTAAATACAAGATTATAAATTCCTGAAACTTTTGTTAATCTACAAGGACTTTAGAAAAAGCTGCAGTGGGAATTTCCCAGTGAATTAAACATTGAAAAACACTGAAGCTCTTGTGTTTTCCAAACCCTGGTGATGCCTCCTCTCCATTTTACAGACGCTGTGTTCAAAGAACATGTACAGTGATTATATGGTTAGACTGCATTTTACTTTTGGAGGACATAATTTATTATGGTCAAATGAGCATGTGGACAAAGAGATGGTTTCTGTACTGCTTTTCTTTAGCAATTTGAAGTAAAATAAGAATTTTATAAAAAAGCTAATTCAAATTAACATTTTTTTCACTTTTGAGTTCGTTCCTTGTACTAGACACTGTATTTGGCATTGGAAATATAAAACCGAATGACCCGAATATAACTAAGAATTATTTCAAATTAGCAAGTACCCAAACTGGTATTGTAGACTCTAGGAAGAGCTTCGGTTTTCTCATCTGATAATTTCTTAGTCACATGAATTTTAATTCATTTTAATTAAACATATACATTGCGTGTTTAAGATAGAGTAAAAATTTGAAAAAAACTAAAAATAGGGTGATTTGCCTTTTCAAGTCTTTGAATCACAGCCTTAAATCTTTGTTTATGTAGCTAGCTGATTTTCACAGACTATTCTGTAGCAAACTTGTTTTGTTTTTTGGCCATGCTGCATGGCTTGTGGGATCTTAGATCCCTGACCAGGGATCAAACCCAGCCCATGGCAGCGAAAGCACCAAGTCCTAACCACTAGACCGCCAGGGAATTCCCTGTAACAAACTTGTTTTATGAAATGAGAAGAAGAGATAACTAAGTAAACAGAGTTACATAAACATTATGTGTTATATTAATGAACCAGTTTGGAAATACTTTACACAAGATTAAGCTGTTTCACATTTGTGCATTAATACCTTTCAAATAGAGCTGACAGTATTTAGGAGAAGAAAAGTAAAGGTAAAGAGGATGAAAGGTATTTGCAGCAGAATACCTGTGTGGTTCACACCATAACGTCATGGAACAGGTCTACTGGTCACCTTTTTTAAAATTTTTTTGCGGTACGCAGGCCTCTCACTGTTGTGGCCTCTCCTGTTGTGGAGCACAGGCTCCGGACGCGCAGCCTCAGCGACCATGGCTCACGGGTCCAGCCGCTCCGCGGCATGTGGGATCCTCCCGGACCAAGGCACGAACCCGTGTCCCCTGTATCGGCAGGCGGGCTCTCAACCACTGTGCCACTAGGGAAGCCCTAGATAAGTTTTTTTTCACTTCTCCCTTTGTGTTTTCAAGCATGTTGCTGATAACTCGAGCATGTCATTTGGAAACAATAAAGATTTTGCCATGAATACCAACCATAATAGAGCCAGGAGTAAAAAAAACATGTAGTGAACAGTACTGTCCCCCCAAATTTGTTGAAAGTAAGTGCACAGAAATTGAAGCAAGCAACGAGAATCTCATAGCTCTGCATACCAGAAACATTGACCTTAGATAGCACTAAACCAAAAGAAGAAAGCGTAGGGGCTGATCAACAAAATGTCGACAGGTGCTTTATCATGGAGGTGGTCATTTTGGTCGTGTAGTGTAGGGGGTAACACACAGCATAAAATCGATCAGTTGCCATGGAACAGAGGAGGAAAGTGGAGGCCAGACTTAGCATCATGTCAAAGCTCGTGTGGAATTTGCAAAACCACCCCCAAAATACCAGCAGCTCTCCACTGATCACACCATGCTGCATGGCATAATGACCAAACCCAGCAGAAAGTCAGTGGTTGCCATGGAGAGTTGCCATGGAGAGGATCAGAAAATTTGTGGGCGAGTGAAGTTGCTTGAAATGCGATATGGAAATGATTATAACCGAGTTTCCAAAGATAGTGATAAACATGGCCCCAATCATAATTGAGTACATTATTCCTCGGACATGAAAATGGCAGCTGGTGGGAGGACAGCATTTATTTCCAAATTTTGGACAACTGGATAAGTCTTCAGGAATATAAGTTAGATCCATGGTGCTTTATGACTTCAAATTACTTTCTAGGAGGATAAGTTTGTGTCTCTTCTCTTCTTAAAATGATTCCAGTAAATTTCAGTCCCTGAGAGTACAATAAAGTCCCCTGTTATTAATTCATTTCAATTATATCTAAATATTTAAAATTATATCACTGGTGTTTACTTTCTGAGTTATTTGCTACATTTGAAAATGAAAAATCTCAACTGCTCACTCTTTCCTGTTTTAGTCTATTTTATTTCATCCATCTATTTATTCATTCAAAATGGGTTTATCTATTGGCTGTTCTATTCCCTGTAATGTATTGGAAGCTTTTCAGTGGTTTACTCCACTTACATGAGGCATCTAAAATAGTCAAACTTATGAAGCAGAGAATACTATAGTGGTTATTGGGGGAACTGGGTAGTTGCTCAGTGTGTATAAAGTTTCAGTTATGCTAGATGAATAAGTTCTAGAAGTCTGCTGTACAACATAATGCCCATTATTATTAAGATGGTATTGTGCACTTCAAAATTCATTAAGATGGTAGACCTCATGTTAAGTGTTTGTACCACAAAGAAACAAACAAAACAAAGGGACAGAAGGAAAACCTGGGAGGTGTTGGATATGCCTAATACCTTGATTTTGGTGATGGTATCACAGGTGTTTGCATATTTCCAAACTCATCAAATTCTGCAGCTCACGGTATATCAATTATACCTCAATAAAGCTGTTTTTTTAGAAAAAGGGGGTCAATTTTCACGTTAAACTGACACTTCCCTAGAAACTCCTTTGAACTACAACATAAAAATACTTAATCCACAAAAGCTAAGTGAAATCACAATGTTTTCCTTCCTCATTCTTTCGATAATTTGAAATCTTCGTTTGTAAAAAGTCTGTGGGTGTTTTAAGAGTTATAAATGGCATGCGGCTATTGAAATACACAGAAAGCCATGTACCTACCGGCTAAACCACAGCTTCTGTACTGTCTATTCCCTTCCTCTCCTCTCCCCTTTCCTCCTCTCCTGTCTTCTACTCTTCATTTCCCTTCCCTGTATTTCTTGAGTCTTCTTCCTTATCTGAGATTCTAACTAGTGGAACCATGTCACATACTCCATTGCTGACTGACTCATTACAGTCACAAATTTCCCACTCACAGACTCATGTGACTCCTATTGGTCACAGGCATGCCTTTCTGATATACGACCAGGAGGCAAAGACCTAGTCTATCTTGCTCACCCCTGGATTCTCAGTACTTAGGTTAATGTTTGTAGCAGGCACTAGATACATATTTCTGAATGAATAAATTTATACATAAATGGTAAGTTACAGTTGTTTTTTTAAATACCTGCATTGTTCCAGTAAAAGCAATTGATTCAATATGTTTGAAACTTTGATGAAAATGAATGGACTAGATTCAGGAGCTCAATTCATGACAGTATCCTCCTGTATTAAATTGCTTCTGTTGCTGCTATAAAAGAATCCCTCCCAGAGTAGCATTTAGACAGGCAGAGCTGACAGATTTTCTACGAACGTATTTTACTGATCCCTTAGGCTAGTGAGACAAGAACTAAGGATCTTGAGTCCAGATAGATACGAAGGTATTAGTAAAAGAAAGAAAAAAAAAAGCTGCTGAGTGTTTCAGCTAAATGCACTTGGGAGATGGTGGCAGTAGTGGGATAAGAGCCCACTCAGTGGTCCATGGTTATGTTAGGATGGGGTTTTACTGGCTCATTAATGTCCCTTATGTAATACTTGGCGCCTTACCTACCTCTTTGCAGAGTTGGGAGTGTTCTTCCCACTGAAACTCACATACTCTCAATAATTAAAGAAAATACTGCGTTGGAGAGCACATACTTACTTAAACTTGTACATATTTAAGTCCATGAATATGTAGGCAGTTAAAGTACATTATTACCCAGAAAACTATGTGTCACACCTCAATTGCCCATATGATTTCAATGATCACAGCCATGACATTGAACCAACTTCACCTGGGTGTTAAATACAAGTAACTGCTCCATTTTTTAAAGATTGAGAGGATTCTAGAAGGCGTTTCGATGTGAGACCAAATCTTCCACTATGCCCACTTACTATTTATAAAAGGGAAAATTCAAATACTTTCAGAACTGGAGAAGCCCTCAAATGGAATGTTTACAAAGATTTATTATGTGATACAGTTTCCAGCCTCCTTTCTCCCTTACGTTCCACAGTATGGCTTTGAAATCAGGCAGCCCTGTGGTTGACTTTTGGTTGCACCACTTATTAACCATATTATTTTGGACAACTGTCTCAGGGCTCCTGAACCTCAGTCTCCTCCTTTATAGAATAGGGAGAATAGACCCTATTTAACATTTTATTTTAAACATCGTTAGAAGCATGACATCTATCTAGTAAACACTTAATGAAGCCCATGTTAACC